TGTACTGAAGGTATCTTTTTCTCACACGTAAAAGCAACCACTGAGTAACATTAATTAATCTCAAAAATTATTACAGCATTGTCTAAATGATTTTTGGTAAACCTGCAATAACTAAGTTTTTGGCCTCATGGGGGCAGCAGAAACAAGTTGTGAACACAACACCTAACATCACCTTTTAAGTTAATACTTGAACTTGTTGCTTTTTTACACGCACACACCAAAAATGGAGCAACGTTAACATTTTGCATTTGTGGTTGTGTTTCTGGCCACCTGGTGAATGTAAGTCCAATATTCACTTTCTCTTTTAGCTCTGTTTTTGGTCACCACCAACCCCTGAAGGAAACAACAAAACAACAAAATCTGATTATTTAGCTGCTAAATGCTCCACTATGTTTGTTGCTGAAAACAGTGGCTATGAGAGCAGTGAGAGTGAACCAAAACAGTTAAGTTATGAGGGGGAAAAGCAAAAAATGGAGTTGAAAGACGCTAAAAAGTTTAGTAAAGCTGAGGGAAACTGTAGAATCAGATGATAATTGTCACCAATAGACCCCTTTAACATACATTTTTAATATATATTTCTACTGATCATGGCAACTTTAAACTCATGGTGAAGTTAAAAATATGTTCACCATTTTCAAATGTATATCAATGTTTTCCTAGAACAAATCTGTACAATAAAAAAAAAAAGTCCTTTTATTTCAGATATGCTGTGACGGATTTTCACAATTGTGCCATGACAAGTGTAGATATTGTAGTCAATATTTTTTTCTGTAAAGTCAGTTAATTTTTTTATCTCATGGCTTTTAAAATTTCACTTTCAAAGTTTTTGCTCACAAAAAGTACCGATATGCCACTAAAAGTTATTAGCGGGACAGGGAAACACATACATCTACAACTGGAGCAGGTTTGACACAACTCTTGTCGTATGGGGAACACGATTACATATGCTCTTTGTGCTTATGTACATATTCTCTGTGATCTTACTCCTCTATAGCACGACTGTTAACTCCAAAAAAGAGCCACATGGCATGCGACCGCTGACTGATGACAGCCTGGTGGGCCACAGAGTTGAATGGATGGAAGGTGGCAGAGAACAGGAAGTTATATGTATGTGTGTGTGTGTGTGTGTGTGGGGGGGGGGGTCTGTTTTGAGAATCCTTTGGCAAGTTGTCAGTGTTGGACTGAAAAGGGACAATTATGACCAGTTAGGCCTTTTCAGAGCCTAATGAGGAGCCACAGTTACAAGTATCTGGACAAGAGATAGCATTTTCTCTATCACACACACACACACACACACACAGATACAAACCCTTTTGTGTGCACACAAAACACACGTGTGTATGTGCAAGGACACACGCACAACCCCAAAATGGCCCGGGCGAATATTCAGGCATGAAAAATGATGGATTGTACCAGAACACCCATGAACAGAAAGCGCGGTCAGTATACACAGTGACAATCATCATATTTTGTCATGAGGAACTTTATGTCCTTTAAACCTAACTTTAACCTCAACGTAATTAATTATTAACCTTAATAGCAAAGTTTGTTATTTATAAACACAAGATCTGTGTGATATGGAAAAATGTATCTTCATAGTTATTATATTATATATTTATATATGGTATCTGATTATGTATGAAAGACAAACTTGTCAAATTGATGTTAATCTCAGTAGGCCTAATGAGAAACAAAACACGAACTGTTCATTTCAGCCAGTACTTGGTAGTATTTCAACAATTGTTCTTGTGATAATTGTGCCACTGTACTTACTATGAAAAGTTCATTTATACCATATAAATGCATATAATGATTAAAGTATGTTCAATAGGTAAAATGATCTTCTGATAAATCAGCAGTGCTTCTAGTTTTCGTCACCATGCTAACATGCTCGCAAAGACAATGCTAACATGCTGATGTTAAGCAGGTGTAATATTCACCTCGTTCACTGTGCTAACTTAGGCCCTGTCTACACGAACACGGGTATTTTCATTTTGCGGTTTGCCTGTTCGTCCACACGGAGACGCAGTATCAGGTCACTGAAACCGAACATTTTTGAAAGACCCTGCCAGGGTGAGGATTTTAAGAAACGCAGGTTGCAGTGTTGTCGTGTAGACAGTGAAACTGTAGTTTTTGCCTTGCGACGTCAGAGTATGTGCTGTTATCTGCTGTGTTTGATGTCAGATGCCTGCTTTGCTTACAATTTTATTAGGGTCCGGTTCGCCAACGCGGCTTTACCATATCGCTGCCTGGTGGTTTGGCATGCTCTTGACAGCGTGTTTTGTGTTTTCATGAAGACAGAGATTTTGTTTTTAAAACGAAGGAGGATAAAATACCTGGCATAAAAATACCTGTGTCCGTGTGGACTAGGCCTTAATGTAACGGAAGCCAGCGAGAGACGCACTAACAACTGATGCTAGTGCCGTGGATGTTAGCTTTCTCGTTAGCGCGTTCGCCTCCTGTACCCGAGGGTGCCGGTTCGAATCAGGACCGTGCAGTACAACTTGGGTCCAGTTACATTAGCATGTTGGCATGTTAACATTTGCTAATTAGTACTTAACACAAAGTAATACTGAAGCTGACGGAAATGGAATTAGCTTTGCAGGTATGTGGTCATTAACCAGTAAGTATTACACAAATTAAAGTTTAGACCTCAGGGTTATCTGAACCATTTATAGCAATCCATCCAATAGTCGGTGAAATATTTCAGTCTGGGATGACACCACAGCTGGTTTACTGTACTTTTCTTTTTCTTGTACACTTGTGTATGTTTTCTTGGTGCAGAAAACCCACCGACTGTGGGGACATAAAATCAATTAAAACCAATTTGTTCCTTTTAAAAATCACTCAAATTTTTGGTGAAACTTTGTAAAAGTGGAAAACAACGGCAATTCCTCTGATCCTGCCCTTAATGTAAATTTATTCCTCCAACTCCAAACAAAAGCTGTAGCCTGACAAACATGCCTTAAGGAAGAAAAGACTAAAAATATGTAATGTATGTAAAACTTTTTTTTTTTACATGAATTAAAAGGAGACATGAAAAGTACAATAACACATACACATAAACAAAAGCCCACACTCCTGTAACAGGACAAAAGCTTTCCGTCAGTAACAGCTTTGCTGCAGAATAGTGAAGCAGCTGCAGGGTTTTTCATCCTGCTTGATTACCGTCTGAACAAACCTGTCCAATCAGTCCCATTCATGGGTACCAGCACTCACGGAAGAACTGTGACCTGATTGACCTCTGCAGAGGGCCAGGCTCTCAGCCTTGACCTAGGTGTGGAAGCTTATTGTCGGACTTGCCCGCACCAGCACTCTTACAAAGGCTGGGATGCCAGAAATTAGGCACTTGAGGGAAACTGGAGAACTCCTGGCTAAACTCCTGTCCAAAAAAAGCCAACTCTAAAAATCAAGTGCCGTAATTGGGGAGAATGTTTTACTCAAGAGGAGTGTTGATAAATGCATCTGTTTTCCCGCATGGGTATATTGTGTGAGCAGGAGGCAAAGAAGAGTGTCGGCAGGCATAGATAGATTTAGCCTTCAAACATTGCTGAGTCTCAATTTTTAACAGTTATGTATAACATTGAGCATTTTCACCCAGGACACTGTTTTCCTATATCTATTTAATATTTTGATTAATTTAAAATCTCATAATAACAAAATCTCATCAGCTGCTTCACTACAGAGCATCCTGTTTGACTTGTGGACAGTCTCCAAATGAGTCTTAATGAGCCAAAGCCTCCAAAATATTTATTTTTCAACTAATTAATTTATCGCTCTGTACCTATGTGGGGACTGAGGCTGAATTTATGACCACTATTACAATATTATTTAAATTTGGGCTATATAGCAAGTGAAACACCCATGGCTGCAGGACTGGAGGTGAAAGAAAAGTGATATTAATCAGTGTGGGTAGAAAGTACAACCAGCCTAATGCAGAGGATTTCATATATTTAGATTTTATGGGCTAACTGTCATCTGGAGTGCAGCAAGATCTGGGTATAGGGGTGTAAGACTGGGCTAGAAGCGACATATGCAAATTACAAAACAGGAGGTCACTACTAAGGTCAAAAGTTTTTTGTTTGTTGTTGTAACTACTTGCATGAATTGTTGTCAAAGAGTCCAGAATGCAGAGAATTAAAACAAAAAGTTGAATAAACTAGAACAAGATTATTTTCTGTCCACGTAGGTTTGTGATTTTCAGGCATAACACTGAATTACCTGCAGAGTTCAGTTGCTTTCAGGACCATCAGTCTGAGGACACTTCAACTGTAGAATTTTATTTTTTTATGTTATTCCTTTGCTATTTATGATTGCTTACTCAAATATAGTTAATTCAATGTCTAACTTTTTATACTGGTATTGAGTTATTTTGCTTGATTCATTTTACTGAAATCATTTGAAGATTCTGTTCTTGACGTGTTCTGACCTTGGGAAGTTAAGAGCTTTCTACACAGTGGTATGTATAATTTATTACATACATGTCAACATATTAACTTGCTTGACTATTTATGTTGACAACATATTAGCTTCTAGATTGTAAATTTATAAAAACTAAATTTCCTTTCTGCTTTAGATTGTTCGTTTTGCCTCGAACGCAAAAAGTTCGAAGATGAACATTGTCCATACTCTTCCTCTTTTAATTTATATATGACATTTGGTGCTGCCACAGTGCTAAACTAGTTTCCATGTTTCCTCTTGGTTGGCTGGCCACAGCAGGTAAATACTGAAGATTTCACTGTGTGATGGAACCTTCTTCTGTTGTATTTCCTCTACTAAATAAAGAATTTTAATAAAACCTTTCTCCTTGCTCTGCATTAGAGGGCATGGATAAGTTATCAGGACATGAAGACATCAAAAGGTAATATACTGTATATGTCTCATTACAGAGTGAGCTCAATATGAGACCAGCTGTGAAACCATTCAAACTATAGCTCTACAACAGGGCAAATGATAACATTTTTGGTAATGGTATATGATGGAAAATAACAGCAAAATAGGGTCGACGGGTGGCATGAGGTTTTTCTAATCTAATCTAACTTTCATTGATAATAAACTCACATTCCTCAAAGTTGGAGCGACCTTTGTTGCTGTTTGGATGATGAGGTGTGTCGTCCTGCAGTTTGGAAAGCATGTTCAGCACCTTTGCTTTCCTATCAAGACTTTCAGTCCCCCTTCCTCCAGCTGAGGACTCATCTTGGTCTTTCCACTCTGGATAATTGGACTCCTCCTCGATGGGGCCCCCTTCATCTGTGCTGGAATCTGGAGCATAGAGATACAACGTAAAATATGTAAAGAAAAATCAAACGGAGTCTTCATCAAGTAGTCTTCTGCTCTGTCTGAAATGTATTTATCACTAAGTAAGTACAGTGGTTAACTTTTTAAAGTAATTACCACAGTCCTAAACAAGAAAAAACACATCTGTATTCATGGTCGTTTACGTGGAAGTAGCCACTTGTTAAAAAGCACTAAAACCTTGTTCTGTTCCATTAATAAACAGTAATTCTCATCACATTGTTCTCCTAAATGCCACAGTCACATCTCCCGTCAGTCCTTTCAGAGTGTCACTAAGGAACGGACGCTCTCCCTGAAACTTAAAGAGCCATGCATTTTGTCACTAACCAGCCAATTAAAAGTCCCATTATCTCTGAAAAAAGTCCACAGAATACACTTCTTGGTGTTGCAGAGCAGAGACAAAGAGTGCCATCAATGCAGACTTGAGCTTAAGGAGGGCTCTGATTGTCTTTTGCAACAGCTTCCATTAGAGTTTTGGACTCTTTTCTTCGTGCTACTTTTGCAAACCCAAGAGGTACTTGTGTTAGCGCATGAACGATAATTCAAATGTGATACGTTTGGAGATGGTTCTATTCATTAGGAGGAGAAAACTTGACCAGCCTAGTAGCTGACAGGCAGAAAATTCATCAAGCCTTCCAAACATGGTGGCGTGGATTCATTTATGCCGCCAGCGAGCATGCAGAGGTCAGCAGTCCAGATTGATGGAGCCATGTCTCATTTGACAGGCCGTCTTCCACCACACTGCACACAATCACACGCTCACATCAGCCTCTGTGTCCTGCTCAAGTCTCAATGTCACCAAAACAGATGACAGGATGAGAAATTTATTTATCTTTAGGACGCACAATTCATTAATTTCTTATGCTTTTTCATATGCAACATAAACCAAATGTCTGGAATATCTACAGTGACATCATGATAAATATGATGTGAAGATAATAGTTTTCAAAAATCCAAAACTTTTTCTTTAAACGCAACATACATGATATTAAAATAAATCTGCATTTATTTTTATTTTAGATGGATGTGCTGTTTCATTTTATTTGATTAACTGTATAATCTATAAAACATCTGAATATAGTTTAAATGCGCTCAGTATTCTTTAGAAAGTAGTGTGCTGAGGTCTCAGGGCCACCTGAGACCAAATTTCTTGTTTTGTCAGATCAAAAAGAATTGGTCAGAAGGTGGTTGCATCAAAATTTGGCTTTTTTTCCCTTGATCCAATGACCCTAACAATGGTCAACTAACTGGTTAACTGACCAATTATTTCAACAGTGGTTATAAAGTCCAGAGAGTTTCTGTAATGTGCAATCTTTAAAGCAGGATGAAACCAGTTTCCTCCTTTTGAAACCCTCCTATCCTAACCTCCAACGTGTCCTAATCCATGAATGCATAGCAGTGATTACCGGTCAGTTAAAGCTGGAAACAAGAGCCCATCTAAAACACACAGAGCAGGTTACCATACCAACCACAGCATCTGAACACAGCAGATAGCTGGATTTGGCTGCGAGCGGCCGAGTCAAATCCCCTCGCTGATTTCGTAAAAGGCCACTGAAGACAATAAACACACACACCCCTTCAGCCGACTCTCGCCAACACATACTGCCTGCCCTTTACCATCCAGCACACCAGGCAGAGGCAAGAAGGTTGGACTTGTATCTCTTTCTTTGCGTGTTTGAGAAAGGGATGAACATCAGCGGTACAATCAGCGGGACAATCAGCGTGCCGAGGCTATTCATTGATGCCACCCAGAGCCTTCACTCCTCTATCTCCTCAAAGAATGGCAGAATAGGAGCAGGGTGGAGTAAAAAGGAAAATCCTCGCCAATTTATTATTCATGGGGAGGGGATTTTCCTTTCAGGGCTCCTTTATCGAAGCCTTTTCCCAACACGTCACCCTCTCTATCAGCCCTGACAAGTGCCAATCAAAGGGCTTGAGTCCAGGATTTTGGGGAAACGCTGGAGGATTTTAGAGACAATAGCCAATGAGTCCACAGTGGCAGTGGGTTAGAGACAATGGTGACATGGCTACACTGACAGTGTGTGGTCCTCTGGGGGGGAAACGATCCTTGCTTAGTATACAACTAATCTCTGCTTGCATCATCTCTGTCTTTCTGGAGCCTAATCTGTCCCTATGGCTTCCTCAGCTTTCCGGGGCAATCCACCAGGGTCATTTCAGATTAGTGCTCTTTGTGGCCCCTGCACATCGCTACATTCATTTGGTTGCTAACATCTATAGTAGCAGCTGAATGCTAAACACTGGAGCGAGCGCAGAGTGACCGGGGCAGCAGGGAAACAGTCATGAAACAATTATAAGGGGAGGGATTATTCTACCTATGAATTCCTGATGAGGAAACATGGACAAAGGTCTTATCATGAGCCTCACTGGGGAGCAGGAGCATCTTTTCGCAGCTGATTTCTGGCTTCGGTTTAATCTCAGAAATTCTCAATCATTGTCGGTTGATCCAGAGACAAGTGGGCAATTCAGTGATATAGAACAGGCATCAGTAAAATAGCTTATCATTAAATTAAAAAATATTAGTAATAGCTTTATTAATAAAAGAGCTATTTCACTGATTTTACACACATGACGGTTACTTGTCACAGGTGTACTATTATGCCTGTGAATTGTATTTGTCTTCTGCAGCTCTGGAGAAGCTTTCCAAAGTTTGAGAAAATTATTTTAATTAATGACAACATTCAGTTGCATTGGGAAATGTAGGATACAGTTAGTTAACCTGTCTGTTTCTTGAGTCCCTCTACTTTACGGATGCAGGAGTACTAAAGCTGCTAAATCCTACATTTTGTTCACATAGTAGTTGCTAACTTTTTCTGCAGTTTGGTGCTGGGAAGGAAGTGTAAAACAGGTCTATCAGAGCTTTTTTTGTGAACACAGCTACCTACTTTAAATTTACAATTACATAACGAAAAGCAAAGTTTTGGCATTTTTGCTTCATTAACAACTTAAATGATCAATTGAATTTCTCACAAATAATTTCGACGTAAGTAAATATAAATAATATATATTTTCTCAATCTATCTACCCTAAATCTAAAAGCAAATTAGCATTTGGTCATTATGCAGATGGTGTTACAAGCCTATTTTCTCAACTGTCTCATATACATTGAGTCATAATGGGGTTATTCCCTCCTTTACTTGGGATCCCTATTCAAAGGTTGAACTGCTCGCGCCTCCAGGGTAACCGAATCTCACCTATCCACACAAAGACATGCCACACACTGGGCATCTTTTAGAGACTGTGTGACCTCAGGCGTGACCTCTCCATGCCCTGCTGATGACCAGGAGGAAGGGAGGGGGGCCCTTCTCCACCTTCTCCTCGCCCAGAGAGCGACCATGCCTTTGGCCTCTAAAAGTTCTAAGCACACAAGCCATCACCAAGATCCTCTGGGTGACATCTCTTTTTCATGAGTGGAGTTTGTTTAATTCTTATAGGATGGTTAAAAGCCTCATTTTAAAATGTGTAACGACTTAAAAAGCTGCATTTTAAAGCAGAAGGGAATTTCAGTCATTGTATGCTATGACAATGGATGCACATTGTATACATTTAACAAGCTTATAAATTAATCATTCTCTATAAAAAAAAAGTTCTTAAATCATTCAAAGGTCACTCTTCCCTGTTAGAAACACAGAGGAAATTGAGCAACATATTGTACAGTAGAGTCAACATTTTGCAAAGTAGAGATAAAAACATACAAACCCAAGCATAGATAATGACATAATAAGGGGTTATTTTTCAGACTTTAGAAAACCCCTTCCAAACCACCGAAAAAAGAAGTATAACTGCTTTCCCGGGATACGTAATTATTCCCATAGTAAATTAGTTTTGACATGTAAAATTAGCGGAACTCACCAAATATTTTTCTTTGATGCAATGATGCAATCACCCCTTATACCAGTCAATAGCAAGATGTACCATTCTACAAGGCTTTATCAGTTGGCAATGCAATTATTGTTTACCATCAAAATAGACATGCCATGACACTGCAGGATGGCTTCAAGTGTCTTCAAAAGTGTATTTGCAACATCTGAATGACCTTGTCTGAGCTCAAAGGTTTGACCTTGATTTTTAAGATCTAAAGGGTTCAGTGTGCTTCAAACAAACTGGGAAATATGAAGTGTAAATGTGTTTATAGCTGTTCTGAAAGGTCAAGTCATTGTAGGTGAGAAGGACATTTTATTACTGTGCCTTTGGTCTAAACGGTTAGTTGCAGCTTGGCCATCAGACACATCAATCTCCGATATCATGGATGCATTTGTAACATCCTCTAGGAATACAGCACTCCATGGACCATTAGTGTCGTGAAAAAATGACAGATAGTGGACGAGTCACCAGGGGGAAAACAACAGAGCATGATCACAGTCTGACAGATGTGTTCAAAAGAAGATGGGAGGAAAAAGAGCCAGCTAGTAGCTCAAGGGTGACTCTCCATTTCCATGTGGTGACAGTACCCCTGACCTTTTTCCTGCCTTGCCCTGCCAGCTTTCCAGTGTTTGTGGTCCGTACAGTAAGCGCTGCCTCTGAACCATCATTCATGAATGTACACAAGCCGACCACACAGGTGAAGGTGATACTTCGAGCCAGCTGGCCCTGGCAAGGATTAGCGGGCTTAAGTGTACCGGAGGCAAGGGAACGCTAAACACAGCGCTGACAGTGAGGAGACAATGGCTCCTAGTAAAGCAGAGCTGACAGGGACTGAGTGGGCTTTTACCGGATCAGACGCTAATGGGGAAGACAGGCTCTTGTATTGATTAAGTATTGTTGTTATAGGCTCTTAAGAGAGAGTGCCAGTTTTAACAGAGAGGTGATATGTCTTAGCAGCACACATAGATCAAGAAAAATTATTATCTTCTGGGTAGATTAAGGCATATAGTACCGTGACTGGACTTGAAGGGAGAATCTGCAGATCTGAACATGTTGTATGATGGACTCAGGTCTATGATCCATGAAGACGGTGACCCAGAACCTCCTTCAGATGGATCCTTCAAGGAAACAGAAGACAGAATAAACCTTTACCAACTGTTCAAGAAAGTTGGTTTGCCATTAGTTGCAAAGTCAAAACATATTTTGGGTGTTTAGAGTTATAGAAGCAAAAGTCCTGTTTATTTTCATAACACATTTTTATAACACAGAACCAGCAGCTCCTCCCACTTCCCAACTCAAAACATACCTCTGGTTTATTGGTTTTTCTTCTTCATAAATAATCCAGTGTGTAGATACTTGGATCAGTGAGGTGCATTATGCAAATGGTCGTATGAATCCTGCTTTGAGCACTTCAGCTCGTCATTGTGGTTCGGCATAATTGCAGGGGGCTTATGAGTCTCATTCATGCTTTTCAGGGGCTCTCTCTCATCCGTCATAAAGGAGAGATTAATCGTAGACCACGTGGAGCACCTGCGTCCATTCCACTGCAGCCCAGCATGCACAAGCCCTGTTTACCCCCCCGACCCCTCACCCCTCAACCCCTGTCTGATCCTAGTAATGGTGCATCCTCTGAAAGAATCCCACCGTGTCGGCCGTTCAGCTGAGCGTGGCCCCCCTGCAACAAGGCAATGAGCTGGTGTAAAAAGCCTGCCTGCTCCTGTACGGTCAGGCCTCCCCCTCCTGCAGCCCGTGACTGATTAACCACACACCTGCTGCACGCCGCGTGTCCTCTGTTATATTGTGTCTCAATTATCAACAACAATTTGGCTTGTCTTACTGGAATAACAGTTATAAATGCATGCCAGTTCAAGTTTGTAAAAGGTCTTTGTCTTTGTGTGGGAGGGAGACTTTGTGTGCCAGGTTTGGGGTTAATGGCTGATAGGAGTTGATGCTTGAAGGTCTAGTGTTAGCTCACAACAAGGCACAGTCCTGCTTTTGGAGAAAATCTGATAGATGAATGGAGGAGGGGGGTAGAGAGTGAAAAGCAATTTCACAAGGGACACCGGCACTCACCGATATGTTTTCCTGGACTTTCCCTGCAGAGTCACACCTTTCAGAGTCGCTACCAGCTGTGAGGGGCCTCAAAACACCTGACAAAACCACAAAGGAGACAGCGTCAAGTTAAAGGAGAGGAAGCAATTGTGTGTTTGCAGTTGTGGTGTAGGCAGGCAGGCGTGTGCATGTGTACATAAGTGTTATCCTCTGGCGCACACTTACATGCACTTGTCTTTTATACTTGAGTGCATGTGCACAGATATGAGTAATGTAGTGTATTAGTCCCAATTATGGCTCTTAATCTCTGAGCAAATACTGGCAAAAAAAATGGAGCAACAAAACCCCTAGAGGAGCACCTGTCTATAGAAGTGTGCCAGGTGCAAACATTGTTCAGGAGGCACAGAGAGAGTAAAGACAAGCTTCCAGCAAACTCAGACAGATTTTCTTTTATTGTAAACATTGGTGGCACAGATTCATGAAGACCAAAAACAAAACCACCATGGTTGTCATATTTCTCTTTTGTTGGTAAAGACCCAGTTCATCTGCGTTGCGAGAAAACACATTTTCTCACTTACCTCTGGTGACACATCCAGCCATGCAGATAGATTTGGTTTTATTTGTCCAGGTTTTGAGATATCTGCAGCCATTCCAATACAATGGAGGTTTAATGGAAATTAAATGGCGTTGCCTAATATATTATATATATTATATATACACATACACATATTAACTATTTACCAGCACCAGCAGCAGTTTTCATGGACACTATTTCTTTTATAGCTATAGCTTCAGTATATCGTATTCTTCATTAGTATTCTTGAAACGCATTAGTTCCTTCGTCCCATGTCTAAAGGCTTGTAAAATTACATCTGTTCACAGAGCAGAAAGCTGTAGTTCAATCAAACAACACGTCTAGACAATTCTATCTCAAAGGTGTTCATAGTGTCACCCGTGTTTGTACATTAAAAAGTAACAGATGAAAAAAGCGATTGCGATCGAGAGGAGGTGTTTCAGACGCAAAACTGGCCTCTACTGAATGTGATGTGAAACGTTCACGGCAGATCACTAGAAAAGAAAACCTCCATTTGCAAACACAACAGATACATCACTGTTTCTATTGGCCAACCATAAATATTTGCAAGTCAAAGCTAAAAAAGGTGAACTCAATGCCTCAACTTGTCGGAACAGCATCTGAAACCCCCCCTGACCAACAAATTTTGTAACCATCTGAACCAACAATCGTGCGTCGGAATGTTGATTTCTCGCAGCAATTGGCCAGCTGTGCAAAAGTGAGACAGCATGCAGGATTTGAACTTCTCTCTCAAGCTCTCTTTTTAATTCCTCACACAACTACATCTGTCACTTTTCATACTAATGGAATTGAACAATTATCGCCTCTCTCCCCTCCCTAGGATGGTTGGCTGTTCACACTGCCTTCGAATGTGGCTGTTTGGAAAAGCTACAGTATAAACACTTTTGTCTGGACGAAATGTCCCACGAATTGCTTCATTACAAGCATTAACTCAGTGTTAAGTGTGGCTGTCTACATTTCACTGAGACAAATAAACCCAAAACAATCTGCATGTTAAGAGAGAGATATTCAATTGTAATTTGGTTGAACTGAACCTTTAACTAGTGTTTTCTCACTCTCCAAAGTGTTATCAGATCATAAATAACAGGCGCTAGACTAAATTGCTTTTCTGCACACAGTCTCCACAGTTTCTTATCCATTGTTATGTATGCAGTGCTTGGTTCTAAGTGTCTCGGGCTATCTTAGTCGGACTTTCCCGGTTAATGATCCACTCTAGCGGTTTGATCTTTATTATTCTCATATCCCTATAAACCTTTCCTCTGAGCTGCCACACCTTCGGGGAAAAGCAGTTAATACCTCGCAGCGGCATGCCTGGGAGCAGATGAGAGGCGGTATCACAGCTCGTTAAAGAAAAGCCGCTTGATGCCATAAAGGCATCGCTTACTCTCAAGGCCGGCCATGGACTGAGAAAACACACCTACAGTGTCATGTTTTTCCCCGTCTGGTCATGTGTGTTTCTCCTCACACACACAAGGACACACCTGTCTGACAGCTCCCTATTATTAAAGTGACGGTTTTTGCTTATCAAACGATATCCTTCAAACTGTCACAGCATGAGGTTTACAGTAAACTGAGGTTGCTTGTCAGTCACAATGGACTTTGAATATACTCGTAAAAAAATCAATTATTTTTTTAATCAAATCAAGTCCAGGGAATTTAACATGATCACAAATGAATCACAGTTAGATAGTTGTTGACTGAATAAACACATTTCAGCAGTTAGAAAGGAAACTTGTTGCTGACTCAGACTTTGTCTTTTGAGTGTGAACTTCCTCTTTTGACTCAGTTTCTACCTGACAAGAAGTTACTTGTATTAATGGATCTGGACATTTTTGTTGGATTATATTTAATCCTGGCATTCCCTCAAACTCCCATAAACTTTACTTCCTCCCATGATATTTTAAATATTCAAACTGACCTTGTCTTACTGAGAAATGGATATAGATTCTGCATAGAGACATTTTTATCATTACAGTTGTTAAATGTGGAATGGGAATTTTGCCATATGAAATGTGTTTAGTATGACAAACAAATATTTCTTGTTTCCCAGAGCTTTCAACTTCAGGCTTTCAGGTTGGAAGCTCTTTTAAAAAAGCTAGTGGAACTTGAGTTGAGTTTTTTTAAGACTTTTAAGACACTTTTAAAATTGTTATTTTGTTTCACTGTGTTTTGGGTGCATTGGGTTTATCATGAGTGTGTTTGTTTCTTTCATATCTATTCCCTTAAATATGTTCATGCATCTTTCTCATGAAGCTCTGTACCTGGTGAAGTCAATCCTGGATCATAGCGCATCCTCAGATCGGACCAGTCCTGCTCCGATAAGAACTCCTCTTCCTGTCCGAAGGGACTCGGCAGGGTTTCGGGCTCCAATCGGTCAAGGAGGAGCAGCTGGACCCGGGACAGGGAGCCCAGATTCCCTGAGTCACAGCCCACTGTCAGTGCTGCCAGGCCGGGAGTCAGCTCTGCAGGGGGAAACAACAAAGTCTGAAATATTAGGAAAACAACCTGCGGCGCTGCGGCACTGTGAAACAGGTTTGCTTTTACATCACTGACATAAAATAATCCATCCATTTTCTGCCACTTATTTGGGCTCGGAACATCCCTCTCTCTAGCCATGTTTTCAAGCTACTCCTGGCGGATCTTGAGGTGCAGCAAGCCAGAGAGATATATAATATATCCAGCATGTTCTGGGTCTACCCAGGAGTCTCCTGCAAGTTGGCCGTGCCCTTAAAACCTTAGAGGGATAGCGCTGAGGGGGCATCCCAATCAGATGCCCGAACCCCTTGACTGGCTCCTTTCGACAGGAAGTAGCAGCAACTCTACTCCAAGCTTCCTCGTGATGTCTGAACCCAGATACCCTACGGAGGAAACTCATTTACGTTGCTTATATCCATGACCTCATTCTTTTGGTCACTACCCACAGCTCATATAGATGAGGGTTCGACTCAAAAATGGAAAGTTTTGCCTTCTGGCTCAGCTCCCTCCAAATCTATTGGATGGATTTTGACCTGATGATGGAACTAGATAAAAAAGTTCAGAGATCACCAAAGTTATTGCAATTCATCTCGAGGGGGACATGAATGTGTGTACCAAAGTTTGTGGCAATCCATCCAATAGTTGTTGAGATATTTTACTCAAAGCCACAAGTGTCAACCTCATGGCAGCGCAAGAGGAAAAGTCATGGGATCACCAAAGTCAGTAGGATTCATCCTCTGGGCACCATGAATGATTTCACGGCAATCCATTTAAACATTGATGAGATATTTTAATACGGACAAAAGAAGTGGCCCGATCTGTTAGGAGTGTGGTTCTGTGTCCATGTCTTTCCTGTTTTAGGTTCTGTGTTTCTCTGTGTGGCCTTGTTTATTATTTTATTCATTAACATGTTCAGGTTTACTTAGTATCTGGTCTCATGGGTTTGGTTTTGGGTTCTGTTGTTTCTATAAGCTTCATGTTTTGGGTTTTGTAGCTAAGTTTAGTTTTTTGTTAATTCGCATGTTTAAGTTTTCTTAGTATCTGTCTTGTCTCTTATCTTAGTTCTTAGTCCGGTATTTTAGTTCAAGTTTAGTGTTTTCCCTGGTCTGTGTACTTAGTCTTGTGTCTCGATGTAGTCCTGTCTCCTGTTTGGCTCTGATTTTGCAGTCTTTCCATGTTTGTGTTTTACTTTGGTAGATCTGTCCTTGTGTGTTCTCTCTTTTATTTTGTAATCTTCTGTGCCTGGTGTTCTTGTCTAGCTTTGCTCCCGTTGTTAGTTTAGTGTATTTTTGTCTCGATTATTAGTTTGTTACCACTGCCTTTTTTTCTGTACTTTTGTTTATGGATCTGTCTGCTTGTGTTTGTAGTCATTTCGGTTTATTCTTTTTTCTGTTCTGTATTAGTTTACTGCCTGGTTACTTTGCTGTTTCACTCTGTCTCGTTTCACTGTGTGTCTGCTGTGCCTAACTAGCTGCTCATGTCATTCACCTGTTTCGTGTTCCCACCCTGCTCATTGAGTATTTCAATGCCTGTGTTCTGGTCAGTCTTTGTTGGTTCATTGTTGCGTATATTCTGTGTTGATCTGTTACCTGAGTTTGTTCCTGCCTCGTGTTCCCACAGAACCTCACCTTTGTTTTTTTGGACCTCTGTTTTCTCCACATACTTTGGATTCTATTTGGACTTAGCCACAGTTTGTAAGTGTGCTCTCCTTTCGTTAATAAATCATTGGACTATGCCTGCTCAGCTCTGGTGTCCTGCGTTTGGGTTCTCAACCTGCTCAATCATTACAACACATAACACGTCTGAACGAATGACAAACCAACATTGCCATACCTAGAGACATGCCACCAGCATGGTTAAAAAGGAGAACAGAAAATATAAATTTAAATACACACCCAAGAAAATTATTTTAATTGAAACAAATAAACATCTTTACAGTGTATAACACGTTATAGATGATTAGAACATACTGTAAAATATCCTTCATATAATCAGAGAATCAAAAGCCCATATCCAGAAACATTAGCTTTAGTTTTAATGACTTGGTGAACCAGATTATGAAATTACTGTAAAATACAGTGCCTTTTCTCCACACAACTTCAACCCCCCCCCACCCAAGAGCAACTCACTGCCCCACTTGAGGCTCCAAAGTTCTCATCGTCACACCCAATTAAAAGCGGATCAGTGACAGTGTGGCTCGGTGCCAATGCAAATCTCCGGCCCACGCTGGCTGGGTGTGGAGCTGCTATTCCTCTCCAAGGGGATTTCACAAAACACGCTCTGCTGCAGGTACCCCACTACACACACACACACACACACACACACACACTCTTTCACAACAACATGGCAAAAAGCTGTGGGAAATTTCCACACCCCCTTTACATTCAAATAGCTGCCACAGACAGAAAGTTTTCAGTTTGTCTTAATTGCATTAAGCAATCTGTCCAGTCCGCTCCCACACACACACACACACACACACACACACACACATACTCCTGAAGTGTTTTCAGTTGAGAAATCACACAAGTCTGTAGGTGTGCTGATGCTTGGTAAAGTGATCCCTCAGGTGAGAAAAAGGAACTGTTGCCTTAGCTGATAAATTAAGGAGTCGTTGAGAGGAAATCCCTGGGATAATTGTGGGTGTAACATAATGTGGCGGGACACACTTTCAGTTAGGCCGGGTATTAGACCATAATTAGCCAAAAGTAGCCACAAGATTGAAAGACACTTAGCAAACACAGTGGCAGATAACAAATGACTCATCTTGTGATGGTGTTGGACACACTGGTTACCACCCACTTGGGGTCAGACAGACAGAGGAGCATGGACACTTCGAATTCAAACATTTTATACTTTGGCATGATGAAGTTTGAGAAATAGGTAACTGTTTTAAAAATCTTAAATTAATGTTCATGCAGGGCGACATCAGTAAACTTCACACAGGATGCTCATGTGCACCAGATCAGTTGTTTAAAAAAAATTCAGGTCAGGTCTCATGTCTTTAAGAGCAAATACAAGTTACAAGTCCTTCTAATGAAACTGTCAAAAGTCAAATGGATATCTTTCAAGTCAAATGAACATTTAAGGGACTCTTTTTAAACACTTTCCTTCCGATTACTAAGAACCAGGTCTTACAGGCTGAGAAATTATTTTATCTCTCATGCTGTAATATAATCAGTCTTTGTGTTGAAATTTGTATCCAAGACTGGCTGTAAATGATTCGCCATTTATATATGTTTATTCTTTGTTTCAAATTTGGTTTATTTGCTCAGCTTAATTGGTTAGCTGAGCAATTAAACAAATCTGCCTTATGTCAGCTAATGAGGAGGAAATGTTCTGAGAGACAAATGGAAGCTAATTGCACAAAAAAACATGTGTTGCCTGCATACTTTGTTTTTGCCACCCTGTTATTCATTTTTGCTCTGTGAATAAATATTTACACTTTTTAAAAGCAGAAACAGGACCTGGGTCCCCACTTGTATTTGCAGATGAAATATCCTTCTCACTTCTGCCACTTTGTGATTCAGCCCGATAAGCTTTCAATAAAAATCCTGCTCAGTGAAGCCTTAAATCAGCCACCTTCTATACAGATGTAAATTGGGCTTCATGTCAGTCTCTGATAAAAATCAGTCTGGAGCATTAGCTCACATTTGGTTTGAGCCTTGGGTTGATTTTATCACGCTGTGGTTACCATGACAGTGGCCGCCCTGATCCTTCCACATCCACGGGGCAAAGGTCGCCGGGGTCAGATGGAGGTCTGGGTCAAGCGAGCAGGTTAAACACCTTGTCAGGGATTAGCAGGCTATGAGGGAGGTGGAGGAAGTCTTCATTGGCTAATGTCTCTCTCAGCGGCTCACTGAACCACCTCCAGGACACACACACACTTACACATGCTATCTAACACACACACACACACACACACACACAGACACACAGACACAGACACACACATCACATTTACTCTGCTTTTGTTGGCCAACATGGGCTGATACAAAGACCTGACACAGTATGCGCTCAGATAAGCCCATCCCTGTCTGTAACAAGACAGGAGTCACAGAGGAAGGAGAGCATGTCTAATTGAGACATTACTGGGACAAACACAGAGATGGAAACAAGTACAACACATTGTTGGCTTTTATGACATTCAATCACATAATTGTGTATTTGTTTTGCTTTTATATAGTAAAAGAGGAGCTATACAAAAAAAAATCACTAGCTAACTTTCCAAACAATGTGCTCAAGCCAAATATATGATATATATTTAAACAACATCAAGAACACATTTATGATGTTAATCTTATAAAAATTCAAGTTTAGTGCTAAAACAATTCCCCAATTAGCTGGACAAAACATCAACAGTTTTGATAATCGATTAATCATGCATGTCATTCATCAGGCAAAATGCCAAACAATTGCTGGTTCTCTCTTGGGCTTTTTCAAATTGTGGGACTTATTCATAATTTTCTCACATTTTATGGACAAAACAAAAATAATGTAAAAGATTCTACAGCCATGCTATAAATGGCTGAATGCTAATTTTAGTATGCTAACATGCTCTCAGTGACAACATGCTGATGTTTAACACTGTTTACCATGTTCGCCATCATAGTGTAGCATGTTAGCATGCTAACGTCTGTAAAGTAAGACTAAACTACACTACTAACAAAGCCTTAATGTTTTTTCAGGTATTTGGATACAAACCAATTGGACAGAATTTTGACATGATGATGAAATTTTAGAGGGTCGTCAAAGGGTCGTCAAAGACACGGTTACAGCTCATCCTGAAGGGAACATGAACGTCTGGACCAAACTTCATGGCAATCCTTCAAATAGTTTTAGATATTTCACTCAAAACTATAAAAGTGAACTTGCTGTTGGCGCTATTGGAAAAGTCACCAAAGTCCTAGATATTTTAGTCTGGAACAAAGTGCTGGACTGATGGACCAACCAAGACAGACAAACCAAAATTGGCATCCCTAGAGCCACGATGCTAGCATGGCTAAAAATAAAAGATTAATGAATACTTTTTCTTAGATGCAGACTATTTGGTTGGGAGTGTGTACCTGTATCGGGTGAAGGACAACCTGATGAGTCTGATGGCTGGCCCATGGACAGACAGGAAGATGACCGAGGGGCGATGGCCTCCAGTTCATCAAACACATGAGACTGACTGCAGCTGAGCTCCGAGTAGTGTGATGCTGCTGTGCCACAGCGTCCTGTAACAGCAGAGTGGGTGTATTATGTTTTGATGATTAACACAATGATGATGGGGATTAGATGTAACTTTAATGATACAAGTGGGTTGTTTCATTAGGAAATAATAGGAAACAGCAAAGAGGTGGATGAATAATAAAATAACAGTGAGAACTAAATGAGCACACTAAACAAGGGGTAATTCAGGGAAGTCATATTATCATCTTTTAGGATGATTAAATTGTTTATTTTCTTACTTGGGATAATTAGATTTACTTGTTTCAAGGTAAGTGATCTTGTTTTGAGTCGACAATAAAAAAAGGCTCAAAATCAGATTTTAGTAATAGCCCAAACATCTGTTAAAGAAATAGTTCAAAATTTTTGAGAAATTCGCTTTGCTGTCTTTCTGAAAAGTTAGATGAAAAGATTTATGACTCTCAGATATAAGAGTAGCAATCTTCTCATGTTACTCTGAGCAAAATAGTGAAAAAAACCTTTTTCCTCCCAAATGTCAATGCTTCAAGAGAAAACTAGATGGCTTTGCTTATTTCAAACAACAATGTGTACAATAACCTTATGCAGTCATTGTTTTTTTGCTTTGTGTGTGAAACAAGCAGTTTTCTATCAATCACATGAAATTCAAAATGTTTCTATTTGAAGTAAAAAATTGGAAAACCACAATATAAACAATAAATGTCATTTAAAAATTATCATAATTTTGTCACTATATAAGAGGCATCAAATTGCAAATACATCCACTTGTGATTTCAGTTAATCTCAGGGATGTAGATTGTATTGATATCTAGAAGTGAATCAATAAATAATACCACGGACCGCAAAAGGAAAAGCTCTAGGAGGACATTTTCTGATGCAGCAATCAGACTATAAATCTCAGCTGGATGTTGTTGTGGGTTTAGGTAAAGCCTGGCCCTTCCAGGTTTACACTCTGACAAGTGGACAACTCCCAACACAAACCCAGGACCTCCATGATTGAAGCCCCTCAGGCATGGTATGATGGTCTGAGCACAGCGTTACAGTCAGACTTTGGGGCAAAAGTAGTCTTATCTCACTTTCAATAAACCCAGGGCAAAAACTCTGCCCTTAAGCTCTAATTATCAAAGAACGCACTCAAAGGAATGGTAAAAACTGTCAAGATAATCACTAATTACTTATCTCCTCTCAAACCATCAAAACAAAACTGTTTCACTCTGGCTGGTTTTGAAATGAGAGGATTAGTGAGAGAAACTGTTTCACCGGGAGGTGTGTTTTGTCGTTGTCCTGAAAGAGGCTTGTCGAGGCTTTTCTCACATTAGAAATGCAGAACAGCTTGGCTCGGACAAAAGGATAATATATACAGAGGTTCTAAAAGGAAAAGGCAAACTCAGCTCCTTCGTGTCTGCCCACATGGACAAGTATAAATGTACACATGAAGCCACCCTCACACAGTCAAGTATGTGAACAACGACACGCACACAGCAAAGCACTATTGTGCACTTGAGCAGCTCGGCGCTCAACTCAGAGAGACAATTGAAGGACTTGACTTGACACTTCAAAGCATATTGCTGCTGTCAAATCAGCTGTCATTCTCAGCAGACGAGGGCCATACTGAGTCAGGGTGAGTTTTTCGGGGAGGTTAAGGGGGCTGTGTAGGGTCACTGAGTTTGATGTGACAGAGTTAGAGGCAGACAAGGCCTTCTCTGTGTGCCTATGGCCTCTTTTCCTGGTCACAGTGCCGGGCTAAAAGGCCCCAGTGGAGAGGCCAGGCCAGGCCAGTGCTCCGGTTCATTGTTAAGGACAGTAACACTCTGGAGATGTTGCTCAAAACAGGTCAGCTCAAGGTCAGTATGGATTGTAGGGGATCTGAAAAAACATGCTGAGTGTCAAAAAGGGCCAAGCAGAATGAGGAGATTCCCATAGGCCTCTGCAGCCATGTACAATTTGTATACCACACAAGGTTTTAAGATTACCTGATTTGCTGCGCTCCAATTTTTGTCACTTTACTTACTTAAGTACTCTTCTTGTCTGTGAAAAACCTCTTCCAGTTTATAACAACAGATTTTTACATTTCAGCCATCATTCTTAGCAGAATTAATAAAATTGTCCTAATCAAGTTAGTTGTTGAAGTCTGGGAACGCAGCAAGATATTTGAAGCTTAGTGCAACTGGGAAAGAAACAAACAAAGTCTGTCTTAGAAGGGTTGCACCAAAAAAATCCTTTCCTAAAGTGATTTTCATGTGTAAGTGATGGGGGATAACATCTTCATTCCTCCTTCTGTTTAAAAATTACCTCTAATTCTTTTTAAGCTATATTATGAGGCGTCCTATAAATCAATCGGGCATCTTTTCATATGAAATAACCTCAATTTGCATTCATGGACAGTGGCTGAGCTGGAGTGACAAAATAGTGACACAAAGCAAGAATTTGGTACTAAAAAAACTATAACAATGGAAAATCCCCAGCTTGATTTGTCTAACTCAAAAGAATCACATTAACTCAAGCTTAAGCTTTAAATGAATCTATGCACGACATGTATGACTTTTGGACTGCGGATTTTGTCTTCCATTACTTTCACTGAAATTGCTCTAAGAAGTTACAGCAACTAAAAACTGCTCCAATGTACATATGGGCATGTAAGTAATAAGATAGACGGGTCATGTCACATCAGGCACAGGTGTGACTTGAACTACAATCCAGAAAGGTTAGTTTGAGTAATAGATCTAAAAATTTGAAGGCTTATTAGAAGCAAGAACACAGCACAGCTGTTTACTACCAGAAATGTGCGCTTAAGTGTCTTCAACCTATATTCTATATTCTTTCTAATGGCCAGCAGGGGGCGACTCCACTGGTTGCAAAAAGATATCAGACTGTGTAGAAGTCTATGAGAAAATGACCCTACTTCTCACATGATTTATTACCTCCTAATGAGTTTATGGTCTTAAACTACTTTCAAGTCTTCTCATTTTGTAAATTACGGTCCCATTTAGAGTAAATTAGACAATAAAGCAAGGTATGCTTTAGGGCATGGCTACCTTGGCAAACCAGTTAAGAGTAACAGTGCGAATCCCTCCCCAGCTCCACCCTCTAGTCAAAATATGGTCACTTCTGGTTCCAAAACAAACAAGGTGGCGACGGCCAAAACACCAAGCTTGAGGCTTCAAAACGGTAGTTCACAAACCAATGGCTGACGTTCCCAGACCTCACAACATATCATCATTATCATAGCCAAATGAAAAGATGAAAAAGATCCAAAATTTAATAAATCAGATTTATCCTTTAAGCTTTACGTGCTGCCACATCGAGGCCACATTGAGCTTGAATTGCCTCCATCTGCAGTGAAATAAATGAACCAGTGACACTCGCTCTGTGTCTGCCCTGAAGAGAACAGCGTGCTCCAATACAGCATAGCACCCCCCTGCAGTACAGCACCACACAGAGAACAGTAGATGTCTCTGATAGAAAAGAGAAAATCCCTACACAATTTTCACATTGTTTGCTTTCTTTCATAACGTTCCTGGAGGAGTCAGATGTCAGTGGCCCCGTCCTTTATCCCCATTGGGAACGGTAAATTAGCATCCGCAGGAAAGCTGCAGAGGTATTCTATTGTGGCGGCCCTCCTCAGTGTTCTGCCGTCAGCGAGCGGTGGTCAGTGTGGATTTATGACCATCGGCTACACGTCTCCCTCTCAGAGCCCAGAGAATAGTGAAGGCACGGGGGACCCGAGGCTGAGAGGCACAGCACACGAGGTAGGCACCCCGACTTCCATTGTTGGGGCCTCATGCCTTTGAACAGGGAATCAAACGGTACCAGCTTTTCATCAAAAGCTCTCCTTTCTACTGCTGATTTAGAGGAAAAAGAAAAGCTTTCTGCGTTATTTATTATGGGGTGGGAGGAGGTGGGTGGAAAACAGGCTGACAGCAATGGTTTCACAATGTGTTGATGGGGGCAGGAGCATCATAACGCCTCACTATGGAAGCAGGCTTTGAATTCTCTGTGTCTAGCCCAGTCCCTTTGTCTATGGATGAATGTCCAGCCATGTTTAGGACAATCAGGCTCCTAAGAAAGTGGGCAGGAGCATAGCGCCGGGCAGGGAGGAGGCTGTGAACGGTCCATATGTGGCCGGCAGAGCTAATTTCTCACCTCTGTCAGGAGATAGGAGGCAGGACAGGCCAATGATGAGACTCCAGCCGAGTCACTGATGAAGAAGGGGTCAGCTTTAGTCCTGACCCTGAGCAGGGAGTGGTCCACTGTGGGCTTGGGCAGGAAGACCAAGTAGTAGAGGGGAAAGCCAGGGTAATGAGGGCATGATCAGAGTCCAAGGATGGGTTGAGACCAGGATCTACAGATGCATCTTGGTGAAGGTTATCTGTTGTTTTTGCGCTTTCACACCTGCTCAGAGGTTTATGGACTGAAAGGACACTTGGCGTTGGGCGAGGTGAGATGGATTTGGTTTGGGCAAATAATAGTTTGTAGAGTGGCGGGGTGGTCATAGCTTTCGTGGATGATTGGCGAGGGTTGGATTCTGCAGGAGGGTAAGAAGGCAAAGGTGACTGCAACACTGGACAAGGCTGGAGCCGCGAGAAACCTTCTGGGTCTGAATCCAGGATATCTGCAAAATGACAAAGTAGTAGCTTCATTTAACACAGAATCCTCCACCTTCTCCAAGGAACTTCTTTAAGAATGTAATTTTAAATTGTCAAACCCACAGTTACGATTATGAAACTCATGTAAAATCAGATAGAAATTACCCTAATGTTAAAGTTCCTGAAATGTTATTATCTAAATTAGACTCTTATTATGAATGAAAACCTCCTTATCTTTCACAGTTAGAACCATACCGGTTAAAACACACACAAAAAATGCTCTTAATGCCGTTCTCACTGGTTTGAACTGGGCAGGGCGGTGCTGCGAAAAGGTGATGTCACATATTTCGATGACTATTGGATGCTTGTTTGCTTATGTTGCCAGGGAGATGTCACTGTCAATTAAATATGATCAAACCACACCTACCTGATGAAGTACATTAGCTGAGGCTCCTAATAAATAAATAATTACATAATAATGCCCAAACTTGAACTCTGATTGTTTATAACACACTATATATAGTTGTATTCAGCTGTAAGGACATT